GAGCCATCGGTATTAGGTCGGACGCCATCGGTATTAGGTCGGAGGCCTTTTCTAGTAGGTTGGAGGCCTCGCATTCTCTTTTTCAAAGTTCTTTTTTTGCAGATCCACGTGTGGCGCTGTGTGGCGCCTGAGAAGTCGCTCCTGCTGTCTATGTTGGGCTCAAAGGGGGCTGTAGGCATACAGGACTGCAGAGACATGGGACTGCAATCCTGTTGCAGATCAGTTGACAGACTCAGACAACCTGTTCTCACGGGGCAGGCTCATGCTGAAATACTTTGCCACCACTTCCATCCCACTGGATGCCCATAGTCCCATGTTTTAGTGACGTCGGGAACTAGCATCACCATCCCATATGGTCTAGCCGTCCTAGCCGGTGAAAAGCACAGCAACAACGGGTTCGTCAATGACCGATGCAGACAGTAGACTCTTCATTGACGAGGCGCTTTGACCACATGCACATGCACGGAGTGTAGAACTGTATCGACCTGGGTTAGGTTGTAAGAGTAGTAGCCTGCTCATCGCTCTCACCAAAGCATCCTATCTCAAATCTTCTCACTTTCAAAAGTTATTTTTTGCCCGCTCCTACTTAATTAAGTAGGCGCCTGCTTGATTGAAGTTCGCTCCTAGCTAGGAAGCAGGATAGCTCACGCTTCTTCAAGGAAGCTCCCCCAGCCTGAGGGCAGGGCGGAGCTTCCTTGAAGAAGTGCCCGCGATATTCATTTGATTCCTACATTTTCATTTCTCAAATCTTCTCCATCTGATTTGTGTTGGTCAGATTGGTCAGGTGTCCTTGGAACGCTTCGACCACTGGCGGGAGAGGGTTCAAGAGGATCGTGTCGTCCACATCAAGGGCTTTGGCGATTCCCCGAAGAGCGAAGAGGCTTGTGCTGTTTACGACGAGGACAGCGAAGAATTCGGAAGTGGATACATGGTGAGGAACGGTGAAAGAGCAACCCTCAAACCAGGACGCATTGAAGATCTTGCACGAACATTGCAGCTTACTGGTGGGCAACTCAGAATTGTTGTATAGAAATCTAGTGGTGACTATGACTAAGGAGGTGCGCTGCGTGACTGTGCTCTGAGGTTTGGGACGGCGATGACTACAACCCACGGAGTTTCACTCGACTCGTTCCAAAGTTCCTGGCGCTTGGAGAAGACCGAAGGGCCGCAGCATTCAGGTCATGGAAGCTGCACGTTGGGGGCGTTTATCTCGTGGCGTGGAACTTTTGCACGTTGTGGGTGGGATAGAGTTGATTGGGAGCAGGTTTGCCTGAGTCCTGTACTGCAACACAAATGCGATGATCACATGGGGCATGAGCAGCAAACTCTTGGCCATTGCTGAGAGTTGTCCATGGGGACTGCCAGGAAAAGCAGTGAGCCATCTATCCTGGGCTTCAAAAAGAGTTGGAGCAAGGCAAGTATCCAGATGCTGGTTTGAAGCCTACTGTAGAATCCAGATCTTCTCCATTTCTTTCCGTGAAAACTCTGTTTAGATAATGCAGGTGGCCGAGCAATTCCCTGGTCGAGTGGCACTGGTACCCATGGACATCCCTTCTGATCCTCTTCGACTGCTCGGGCAGGTGGAGATCAGGAGAGGGTGGGTTCCAAAGTTTCCAAAGTGCAGCCATCCTGAGAGCTTCTTTAAGTCCGTCGAGCTCGAAACTGACCCAGGGAATCTGATACTGATAGCGATGGGCGCCTACTAACAATGGCCTCCAACCTGCTAGTGATGGCCTCCAACCTACCAGCGATGGCCTCCAACCTGCTAGCAATGGCCTCCAACCTACTAGCGGTGGCCTCCAACCTACTAGCACTGGCCTCCAACCTGCTAGCAATTGCCTCCAACCTGCTAGCGATGGCCTTGATGCCAACCTACTAGCAATGGCCTCCAACCTACTAGCGATGGCCTCCAACCTTGTAGCGATGGCTGTCCAACCTACTAGCGATGGCCTCCAACCTAATAGCGATGGCCTCCAACCTACTAGCAATGGCCTCCAACCTACTAGCGATGGCCTCCAACCTAATAGACATGGCCTCCAACCTACTAGTGATGGCCTCCAACCTGCTAGCAATGGCCTCCAACCGAAGAGCGATGGCCTGCAACCTACTAGCAATGGCCTCCAATCTACTAGTGATGGCCTCCAACCTACTAGCAATGGCCTCCAACCTGCTAGTGATGGCCTCTAACCTACTAGTGATGGCCTCCAACCTACTAGCAATGGCCTCCAACCTACTAGTGATGGCAGCAATGGCCTCCAACCTACTAGTGATGGCCTCCAACCTACTAGTGATGGCCTCCAACCTAGTAGCAATGGCCTCTAACCTACTAGTGATGGCCTCCAACCTACTAGTGATGGCCTCCAACCTACTAGCAGTGGCCTCTAACCTACTAGTGATGGCCTCCAACCTACTAGCAATGGCCTCCAACCTGCTAGCAATGGCCTCCAACCTGAGCAATGGCCTCCAACCTACCAGTGATGGCAGGAATGGCCTCCAACCTACTAGTGATGGCCTCCAACCTACTAGTGATGGCCTCCAACCTATAGTAGCAATGGTCTCTAACCTAAGAGCGGTGACCTCCAACCTACTAGCAATGGCCTCCAACCTACTAGTGATGGCCTCCAACCTACTAGTGATGGCCTCCAACCTATAGTAGCAATGGCCTCTAACCTAAGAGCGATGACCTCCAAC